TTATTTCATATATGTAATCCAGTTTTGTTCCACTAACTAAGTCTATTAATAGAGCCTTGTGGCAAGAGTATTTAAGTTCTATTTCTTAAGTTTCCATTAGTATTGAGAAAACAGCAAGTGCTCTCTGGAAATAGCCAGGAAACTAATTATCTAACGGAATTCAGAAATAGTACATGGACTCTAGTATTCAGCATAACCCTAATGGTGATGAAATCTCATAATAATTGTCTAATTATTGACAGCATATAAACCACACTCTCATGTACACTGCTTCATTCATTTTCACAACACTCCGCACTCTGCCTTGGATGGTCTCTGCTTTCTCCGGGCATCTCCATCAATGCAGACTTAAGCCCTAGAGTTTGCATTGGTGAACACTTCACCAGGCTGGGATCACTGGTTTTCTCATTCTCCAAAAAGGAATTTGGGACTCAGAAAGGCTAAGAGATTTCATTAAGCTGGCAGCTGACGTGTTCCTAGTAGATAGATTCCACTTGAGAGTCCACTGTGGGCACTCTCGCATTCCAGCTCTGCACAAAAGTTTTACCTGAGAGTTTATGAGGCGAATGGTAGTTTTCGTACCCACATCTTGTTGGAAGTTGGCTGTGGGTGCTGCGTTAAACCTCAGGATGGCATCATGATCATCTATAAATCACAAGAAAACAGAAGAGAAGTGAAGAGTGCTGGCAATACGCGGAGAGAGAGAGGACTGGAAGAGAAGACACAGGAGGAAATAAAGGGAAAATCAAACAAGGCTTTTCCATTTTCATTCCTCCTTGATAAGCAGGGAGGAATCCCCAACTTTGTATGGTGCAACCAGGTAAGTCTCATAGAAATGACTCCCTGCCACGTCTGACCACTGGAAAGATGAAACTGATTTATATCTGAAACCCAGCAGATAAGTGAACAGGGACAGTGATTTACTTACTGGGATAGTGGAAGCACTATTCCAGTGGTCAAAGGAGCAAACCAAATATTCTCTTGGTATTACCAGTAGATCATATTTCTATTCCCCAGAAAAATGAAGACGCCACCATTACGCAATCTATACCACAAGTGTAAAGTACCCCTATGGCTCTCTGAAATGTGTGCCATGCTCTGCAAATGGAAGAGATCTACTGAAA